GAAACGAGCTTTCCATTACTCCTTCGAAGACGCGTAAAAAGTTAAGTACCTTGACTTACGTACTACGTAACAACTCAAGGTTTGCCTTAATTAATTTCTTTTTGTAGCCGTCGTAAGGCTGGACGTGTAATTAAACCCGGCGTTTAATACCGTCGCTGCTTCCGGCTTGCATGGTCCATGTAATTGCGATGAAGACGTTTGGAGTATTGCACAATTTTGTTTCGTATTTTTCAACAGTTCTACCTGGCGATAAGTAAACTAATAGACTCATTTTTCAGTTTCGAATTTTTACAGACGAAATTAAAAGACTTATTGAAAAAATGAATTCTACACCAGTTACCACATACATTTGACTACCTAATAATATTTTAATAATAAGAGAAAACTAATAACTAATACGAAAAAAAAAATACATTTAATGCATTCCATCTGATTCAACTAGCCCTGGGAGTAATTCGACTAAGATTATTAAAATAAAGATTAATGTATTTTAAGCTACATCTTTGGCTACATATTAATAAAACTTTTATAAAAATATATTTTAAACACAAACATTCGCTTCGCAGGACAAAATAATACTTCTTTTTGCAAAATTTGTTCATTTCGTGCAAAAATACGTCGAATAAGCCTAGCTTTCGAGATTGGACATGAGGGAACTAAACTTATAACATTTACCACTGACGAAAATCTCTTTGAAGGAATAATTGAGTAAGTACTATAAGAGTCGTCACTAAATGAGTCATACAGTTCCATACTGTGGTTAGTCTACTATCCCTATCCGTTTATTTTTTAAAAACATTAATAATATACAATAACGAAGACACATAAACAAAAAAATTGTTGGACTTTATTAAGTAAGAACTACACTTACTATCTAAGTAGAAATCAAATATTTCAGACATATACGATTGTAAAACAAAAACTTTAAGAATAAAAAATATTTACTTAGGTGTACGATTTTTTAAAATTGTGGCATAACTTCTATCATAGATGTGTTCGCAACAAGATGTTACAGCAGACTTAGCAACAATCGCTGCTGCGTGCTCAGACATGTTTATGCGTGTCTCGCGTATTTTGTTTTTAATGTCTTGATTATTCTACTTATCCCTATATTCAACCGACCCCGGGGTTTCCTCTATATTCAATTATTAAACGCAAAAGTATTGGAGATTTGAAATTAAAATATCTCAGCGCGTCAGATAAATCTGTATCTTCCAATGATGTAAAAATGATAAAAACTATGGAGAAGCATTCAAATTTACGAGAGCAGCAATTTTTGGATAATTTTATTACTTTTTTAATATTATATAAAATTCATTACGAAGAAATATTATAGTGGCATAAATTACGAAGAAATATTATAGTGGCATAAATTATAAAGAAATATTATAGTGGCATAAATTACGAATAAAAATAAGCAAATATAAATAAAATAAATATAAATTAAAATCTTTATAAATGAGCTGTATTTTGCGTGCATAATTGTGCATATTGTGCGTGCATGTAGTATGTAATAAAATTTTAATTATATTTTCATCTGTTAAATTTTCCAAATTAGGTAAAATAACAATTTATACTTTTTATGTGTCGAATAACTTCATATTCAATGAAAAAGACGCTCTAAATTTTAATTGAATAAAATTTTGTAAAAAAAAAATGAAAAATACATTATAAACAATGAAAGTACATATTATCCGTTTTTCGCATTTTTACAGACGTTGCACGCGCGCAGTAGTGAGGTCTCGATTACTTCCAAAGCTTTCCATCGCTCCATCTTCAATTACACTTAATTGCCACGACGTTCGCAATAAAATGGTCACCGCACTATATCTGTCGTTTGTGATAGCTACGCTGCTTTTTCACGCTAAAATGTTTGCTGGAGCAATAACGGAGATAGGAGAACTCGCGAGAAACTTTCCCATCTTTGATGCTTTTTGTTGCGTAGCATCATCTTCATTTATCCGATCTTGTAAACATTATTCGAAGACAAGATCTATGAAAAGAGAATGTAATTTATAAAGGAAAAAACAGGAAAAACGATAACATTCGATCATGTTCAATGAATCAAGGATTTTCCAAAAGTGCATGTTCCATTAAGGATATGATTGTTAGCAGTCAAATTATCGAAGTTCTGTAGTCGTGATGAACTTCATATTCAAGCAAGAACTTCAGAAAGCAATTATCTTAATCCGGTACAATTTTGCACTCTCCTTATTACACACGTACATACATATATGATTTAATTTTATTCATGCAAAATATAAATTCCGATTTACTCCCGATTTACTTACTAAAGATATCGAAAATTATGGCAATATGATCTGTATAAAAGCAAATTTATCTATAATTAATTTTTATGTCGCTTTAAATAGTTAGTTTTATTTGGAATAAACAAATCCGATTACGCGAATTCAAGAAATGAGGAATTGTAATTCAGTGCATGGTATAATAACTGATACACGTGTGTGCTTGGGACACTGTTACACGCTAAGATTAACGAGTAATCCGTTATCAGACTATGCGGTTCGTCATTGTGAGACAAGCAATCGCTTCGGACGTTTATCCCTTCATGACTTTTAATTAGAAACCGCAATGACGGACCGTCGTGGACATTGTGTGGGCGATACTCATCTCGAGCGTTATAATATACACGTTACTCAGGAAGACACCCACGTATTATCGACCTTGTGACACAGTGATTTCCACGCTCAATGACCTCGTTGCATAATGAGGTATCGAGAGATTCATTGGGACCATAAAATCACACTCGTCTCTTCTCTCTTTCTATGATCAAATAGATGGAACGCCGCGTTATTCAGCAATAGTTGGTAGACATTCATTTATTTTCAAAATCAATTCTTTGCCGATTACAAAAGCGCTATGATTCATTTTATTTTTGATAAAGTTGAGTTCTAGGTTCATATCGGTGTCGATTAACAATGCTATATATTAGGTGTTGGAATTAATTCGTAGCGTTTTACAATGAAAGAATGTTATTTATTTCACATGAGCATTAAAAAATACATTAATGAAAGTACTTCCCATCACTTGTAAAACGCTACGAATTAATTCCAACACCTAATATATCATTCAAATAATTCGTTATAATTTTAAATAAACTTTAGTACAATAATAGTTAATTAACTGTTCGAGTTATTTCTGGATGCCTGATCGTAAAATGAAAAAGCTTCGAAATAATTCATAAAGTACTTTTAATGAATAAAAATAAAGATTCCTGTACAATGTAACGTAAATTATTTTGTATTCCGATTAAGTCATTATAGACGAATTATTTAAGTAACTAGCACCAATCTATTATATAATATTCATTAGCTTCATTATAATTATATTATTGTCTAAAAGTACAATCTAAATTTCAATGATGTAATCGGCTTTTAATATTACGTTGTACATTGAATACTTATTAATTTCCATTATTGTATATCATTTAATTATAACGTTATTTTATAATAAATGGATTTTGTTGTTAATCGTTTTATGTATCATTTCATTTCTTCCAATGTATTAAATCATACACAATATCTGTGTGCATCTATTATTACAGATATTTTATTCTACATTTTATTCTGCTTTATATTCTTAAATGAATTCCGACTTTATGATCTTTATGATTGAGAATTTGATGATTGATTTTGAAACATTTTTATTGACATTTTCGCAAAAAATACAGAGCTCAAAGGATAATGTTCTATCCTTTACTCACTTGCCGATAATTAATTAAAAGTCTCTAAAGATCGCTGGTTACGACAACGAACCGGAAGTGTCTCTCGAACTTCGAAGCAAGATAGAGAAAGCGAGCAATGCGAAAACGGTGGTTTTCTAAGTTCATTGGAAAAAGTTTTGTGGCTACTATATTCGCACCTCGAAATTAACATAAGAGGCCGACTTTGCTATCCCAAACTTGGGCCTTCACCCGAAGAAACTTTAGAAAGGTCAGAGACTGCTACAGGTTTTCAGAGTTTACTCGACAGCGTACGCAAATGGGCATCATGTCTCGTTATTCACGCTGTCCGATTTCTTTCGCGCTCGCACGTATTTGCCGCGAGTGTTTGTGTTTGCCGTTCCATTAGCCGGAAAAATGTATGAATATGCAGCAAGAACGGTTTATCCGTATTGCTCACGTCATATGGATTTACGTGTTAGTGTCCTCAATATCGTACTTAATTATATTTCCTAGCGACGAAAAAATTCTCTAGTTCGGATTAGTTCTCTAATTACGGAGCCATTAACTGGACATCGAAATTATTTTCTGTTCACATTAGAGTGATTTTTATACGAGAGCATCCTCATGAAATTTTTTTCCGGTCCAATACATTTTCAATTTAGATTAGGTTACTTTATGTCTCGTATGTGAACAAAATAATACAATTCACAAACATTATCTCTTTTCACTTTTCTTTAAATAATTTACTAATATTGTAAATATCAGTAAATATCAGTTATATTAACAAAAGAGGATAAGTTTTGTTGCAATGATAAATATTTTATAACATTAGATATTGAATATACATCGACTTAATGCCAAATTGATGACGCATACATTGCGGTGCGCATAATTAGTGATGTTTGGAATTATTAATAGAAGGATTTATTACTCCCGTTGTATATACGCAACATCATCTGTACATCACTTGATATACGCTCATATACTTTCATGTAGCATGTAATTATTGAAATATACATTCGATCTGAAGATAGAAATGTACATCCAAAGATAGTAAATTGGAAGTTATATTAGGGAGTCCAACGGCGAATATTATTAATAATAATAAATCGAAAAAAAATGGTATGTTATCAGCGTAATGCAAGTGATTCGTTAGTTTTACTCTTCGAAAAAAAAGAAAGAAAAGAGAAACAGCGGACAATAATAAAACGAGCAACTTAGAATGATACATCGTGCGATAAAAGTTGAGAAACACTTGTTAAAATACATTGAATCAATTAACCCGTAGGGTTGTTCATGTAGGGAGTTACATTACCTGACACTCGTACGTCCCATTGTCTCTTTCTTGGACGTATTTTATTTGAAGGGTCCAATCGTCCGAGCCCTCGGGATGCAGTACTTGAAATCGCTCGTCGTTCGTGTATGTGAACATCGAGCTTGTTAAAACGTGAAAGTCACGTCGCCGGATCCACGATATCTGAAACACAGATATTAATTGACACACACAATCAGAAATGTAAATAAATATTCAAATAACTATTTATTAATTATTTATTTATAAATTTTTATTAAAGTTTTGCTATTTATTTATCGATTTTCATCAATATTTTTTTATTTATTAGTTTTAAAATACAATTTATTAGTTTTAACAAAATAAAACATAGGTAAAATATATGATAAAAAATATGAAAAATGAAACATAATGAAATAAAATATACTGAATTATATTTGCATTTTTAACATAAAAAATACTTTAATTTAGTATCCAAATTAAATATTCAAAAAGATCTGTTTAATTTGGTAGACACATTCATGACGATATATATTGGTATTGGAGAGGTATATATTGGATTTTAATTAAAATAAGTATTGCTAAAAAAAACGTGGAACTATATCAACACACACACACACATATATATATATATATATATATATATATATATATATATATATTTGAGTTGATATAAATTGGATTAACATAACCGATCGGATCTCATCTAAAAATAATGCGTCAAGCATTTTTAATGCCTCTTGATGGGCATGCAAAATAATTTTTCTACAGATATAAAAAAAGTCATAATAAAATGGTAAAGGTACAAAATATTGCTCTTATGTAAATAATAGCAATCTATGTATTGCGTGATACAGGAAAGAGATTTGGTACGGAGATATGTCATATTAAAATAATCCTGTTCGATACATCGACACTTTGTGCAAATAAAGCGAAAAAGATAAACGACCATTACATTAAACCACATGAAATGGAAACATATTTATTACTTCATATAATTGCAAAAAATTGTAAAGTGAAATATATTATTATATCAATTATATGCATATATAAACAGTAATGTGATCATAAAATTTATTTTAATTAAACATAAAGTATTAAAAAGAATGCAATTATGTGTTATGTAAACATGACATAAAATTTAATTATAATCTGCAACGGATGAGACACATCTTGCTGCATCTTGTTTTTAATATGACGTCAAACGAGAACAGAAAATCTCTTTTAGATAACAGGTTGTGTATTCTTCCACTCTAACTTCACTGATATTTTAATATAAACAAATTTCATTAGAGAACTTTAATTGTTAAATCCTCAGTGCGCAAAACTGTTATAATTTTTCCACAAAAGCAAAGAATACACAAATAAAAAGAAATAATAGACCAGGCTATCTCTTGGAAATGAATATTAAAATAATTATTTTCATAACATACATTATTTTAATATAAATACATGTAATATAAGTAAAAAAAGCATTTATATTTCCCGCAAATAATTTTCGTATTTCCCGCAATTACAATCGTTACTGCTTAACGAACGACAGAGTTTACGAAATGGAGAACTGGTTTTAGCGGTACTTAGTAACTTCGCCCCTGCTCAAATGCTACGACCTATCTTGTGATCCGATGGGACCGAGTACAATATTGCATAAATAGTAAAATTGTGAGAGCCGGAAATACGATCTCAACCTCCAGGGGAATGCGGCAGACTTGCCCGCATTCTCCTCAGATGGGTTGCTTGTTTCCTTCCTCTGTTGATGCTTTAAGATCATTGTAGAAAGAGAATGCATAAAACATTAGGTATAAACCTCGCGGCCAATCACGGTGTTTCTATCGAATTGCCTTGTGAAGCATATAAATGCGCAATATCAGATTACGTGTAACTTATACATTTTTATCCCGGAAACAAATGATAAATATGTAGATAAATAATTTTAAATCTTAATATAATTAAATTAAGATTCTTAATTAAATTAAATTAAATTGTTCTCTTTTCATCATGAGAAGAATATCTCTTTTAATATTCGCGTTTGTGAATTTATCGCAAATAATTAGCACTTTTCAATTTTTAATTTCTGCTATAACTATGGCATGCGGATAATTAACTAATTAGAACAATTATTCTAAAGAGTACAAAAATATACTAAAATATATTTAACAACAGTGTTAAAATAGGAATGACGCATTACATATTTCATAGCAATAAAATTAAATTTTTATAGTACTTTTATATACATATATATATATGTACATATATATATATATAAAGATAAATTTATTGATCCTATTGTTTGCTAACTATAACAATTAAATAGCATAATATATAAGATTCATGTTGGAAATGTATCTAAATATATTATATGTATTTCTATTTTAAACTTTCTATTTTAAACAAGATAAATAGCAAGAGAAATTGCAAAGTCGCGTTTACGTCGACATAAATATGCTAATTTCCGTTACAGCATTTTGTTTACATAATAATATTAATTTGCAGACTTTTCACGAGCGTTGGCAAGCTGGACAAGATGCTCGGAAATTTCAAGTGGCGAAACTTCGCCGCAGTATGATTGCCAGCTCTCGGCTACAATCTAGTGCTTCAATGTTTCCAGGCATTCGGAAGAGATCGCTTCGTCCGAAAGCATTAAACCACTTGAGGTACTTCAATCGGCTTCAAACTTTAGATTGATGTGAAATTTCTCGGTAGACCAATTATTATGGATTTGCTTTTCTTCTTTTGTGTTCTGTATGAAAGTTGAATTTATTTCAGAGTACGTCATTAAAGAGATCATCACGAGAAATACAGAAGAACGAAGAACGAAACGACGATTCAGTACGATCTTGGCGCAATCCTTCCCTGGTTAGATGGTATTTATATTGGAATTTTTTGGTTATGTAGGAACCATTTCACTGATTTGAGTATATTTCAGTCATACCTCAATGACGATTATTTTTCTGGATTTGCGTATATTTGTTCCCTATATTCTCTTTAAGCATTACCTTTGATCGCTTCAAATACGTTTTATGCGAACAAAATAAGTAAAATTATACTGAAAAGAATCTTGTTTTTTTTTCTGGCCAAAACCGAAAACGATTGTAGTCTCGTCCGGTAGTGATTTGGGAGGAAAGTTTGGTTCAAACGATTCTTGAGACTGGATGAGAGTTTCGGATGAAAGGCATACCCGACATGGAAAGTTTACGTCGTCGAGATTTCGACAGAACAACCGACGAGGTCGATTCTATTGCAGTGCTCGTGTAGAGAAGCAGTTTGTATGATGTATGTAGGTCAGCGTTTCTCTCATCCTTTTACGTGCAGTGGACCATCGGTGCATCATTTGAAAGAAGTATGTTGCTATATTGCGGTATGTCAGTGTATATTCGTACAATATTTGAAGACATGTTTGAAAAAGCGGACAAACGGGCGAAAACATGTTTCTGTATAAACACACGAAAACTTTTTAAATTATTTTTTTTTGTTCTTTACTGTTTTCTATTAATTATCTGTTGCAACATTCAATGTGTTAATCCGATATTACATAACATTTTTAGAAATAATCACTGTTTATAATAATATATATATTTATATTTTATTGTTTATATTGATATATATATTTATATTTCATTATTTATATTGATATTGTATATATATTTAAATTTAATTAAATATTATTTATTAGTTATCTAAAAAAAAAAATAAAAACATAAGTATTAGATAAAAGACAACTTCTAAGAAAATTGTGGAAAGAAAGAAAAGGAAAAGAAGGGAAAGAAGAAAAAGCTGAAGATAAGATACAGAAAAAGTATGGAAAATTAATTATTGGCTTTAGAGAGAGCATATTTGCAACGTTCATATTAAAATTAAATTCGAAGTAAATTCGTGATGATTATATTTAAGTGCAAATTATATTTAAGGAAGATGGAAATGTATGTAGCGTTGTATACTGAATACATAGTACTTCTATTAGAAAGGCATATATCAATATATATACATCGATAGTGTAATATATCAACAGATTCTTTATTTACAAATCATTTTTTAGCAAAAATAATTAAAAAAATTGTTTCTTTAATGATAAGACGTCGTTTCTAGAGAGAAGGTTAAAAAAGAGAATACGAAGGAAAAATAGTATTTAAAACAATTAAAACTGTGTAATAATTGGATACAGGTGACATTAATGTAAATTAATGTAGTGTTTGATTAAAAAGATTGTGATACTTAAGATAAAAGATAACAAAATAATGTATATTTAGATAATAGTATTTAGATAATAGTATTTAGATATCGGATTTTAGCAATTAATTATCAAGGAATGGATGGCTGTGTGAAATTAAAAGATGAAATTGTAAAATCTCTTCTTGGTACATCAGTTGAAAAATAAAAAATATTCTGAATTCTATAAAATACATTTAATTAAATATTCTATTATTAAATGTATTATCTGCTAAATGAAGAGCAAAGTCAATAAAACTGAACGCCTTCTTAATCATTGATCCGTTTCACTGTTTTATATCTATTCAATAAAGAGAATATATTCCGGAAACGGATTGGTGAAGGATACAATGAGTAACATTAGGTTTGTGTAACCTCCATGGGTGACTGACCACAACCAGTACTTGGTTATCTCTCGCTAAAGGGTTAGGTCAGGTATATCCTGTCTGGCTTTTCAGTTTCTGTTTCACGCTACTCGAACATCATGAAATGTTATGGTTGCGGTATTTGGTGTCTAAAGTTCCGCGTGTAACCGCAAATGTTATTTTCGAGCATTGCGCTACTTTGTCATAATACTATGCATTTTGATTTTGGTCAAAATATTTGTGGGGCAATTTAATTTGCAGATAAAAATTATAAAGTTATATCATGTTAAATTTCGTATATCCGCCAGATTGGTATTACATCTAGTTCGATACTAATTCGATAAATGCAATATAAAAGCTAGTATTGGTTTGTATTGACAAAGCAGATGAAACGATTAGATTTATCTTTATTATTTATATATATAGCAATTATGACTCTGCTATCACTCATACGACTTGACACATTTCTAGATTGAAACGATTAATCATAAAAGTATTACACACTCAATATTGCGAGTAGTCATTTAAAACAAAAGTTAAATATTAGTCCATAAATTTATTCGCATTTATTACACAACAATATTTGCCATACATAATATTCCAATATATTTAAAA